CATTTAATATCCATATGTAACTCGTGAAGCCGATCAGAATGCAATATCCAATCATGAAACTCTAAGTGGTATATTTAGTTTACGTAAAAATTCAAAGAACAAGACAATAAATAAAGTTAACAATAAATCAATTTATCCTCATCATTTTCATCATACAAAAAGTTATAGAAAAGAAAAATAAAAAACAAAAAAATGAAGAGATTTTACTAGTTAAAGATAGTAAATTAAAACTCTAGCTTTCTTCTCAAGCTATGTTTTCCTTGTAAAGAAACCCCTAGAGCTTGAAACCTTTAAGCAAAAGACTTTCTCCCCTTAATTCCTCGTTTGTCTTATTTTCAATTTCTTACACCTTTCATTTGGTTACTTTATCATTTTCTTTAACAGTTACTACCAAAGTTAAGATTGCAGATCAAATGTTATCACCTTTGATTTAGGCACGCGAGATGGTCCCTTTCGTCTACATCCTCCAAACACCTAATAGGCATGTTGTCTTTTGCTTTGTGTGGCTGGTAACCATTCTTCCTACGTATATCCTTTCTCTGTCTCTCCTTCATACTTGAGTCTCTCTGTTGTTTCTACAAAGCTTAAAGATTCCTTAGGTAAGTTCTCTCTATCTGTTTATAATTATCAATTAGTATGAAAAATGTTAATACTCTATATCTTAGAAAACATAATTAAAAGAATATACTAGAAATAAAATAAAATGAAAAGGACTAATATTTCAATGAAGGAGGAGATCTTTGATGTTGGCTTTTCGTGAAAAGTGAAATATAGTGAAAAGAGATGGAATTAGGAAGGGAACTAAAGAGAGATGAAGGGAAATCAACGGTGATGGCTTCATGAGAGAGCGAGAGAGAATCAAGATTGTGACTGAAAGACTAAATAAAAGAGATGGAATAAAGAGTTACAAAGAAAAAAAAAATCCATAACATAATTTATTCTTTTAGGTTTCTCGACAAACCTTAACTTTGTTATACTTTTTTCGTTAGAGTTAAATGACAATAATAATTTGGAAGAATACTAAGGTTTAGAAATTAATTTATAACAAAAAATATATTTGATATTAAAACATAATATTGACAATAATTCATATGGTGAAATACTAATTTGCCTTTTTTTTTCTTTCAATTTGTGTGTTCATAACTCAGATTGATCTTATGGTATCTCCAACTTGTTTTTTATTTTATTTTGTTGCTCTCTTCTTATCCTTTCTATTATTCAATCTTTAAAGAAATATGCTTGTAATAATGAGATAATCTTCTTATCATTTCTGCCTTCTGCTTTTCTATCATTTTAAGTACATAGGTTTTATTTTATTCTTCCAATTTAATTAAAATATTAAATTTTAACTAAATATTTTAAAACCTTGGTATTAGGAATAAGTAATAAATCTGAATTATACAAAATTATTTGGTAATTAAAAAAAT